ACTAACCTACGAATACATGCCTAACACCTAGTAGTAACATAGTAACGTTCTTTGGTCTTTTTTATATAACATTGGATAACAAACGAGCACACAATCCACGTGATGGTAGTGGATGCTGTATCCCATAGACATCTACATTTATCCTCGATTAAGAATCCAAATCCAGACGCGTTGTCACCCGTGAGGACTAAGATGGAATGCCTGGTTGCCAGTAAAAAAGGTCTCCGGTTATCTACACTAACCATACCCGTACGAAACACAGCAGTATTGAGCTGCTATTAGCTGGTATTCTGTGAGAGCGTGGTCCTGCCTCGGCGAACCGACCCATTCGTGTTACAACTGTAATATAGTTACAGCATAGCTCTACCACATAAAAATTCATTAATAATGAAAGAACAAATTATAAGAACACTGGTCACTCATCTAGAATCACTAAATAATTAGGGCTCTACGATTTTTCTGCCACCAGGGTGGCGCTGCTTAGGAATGAAGTCTATCATTTGACATATTTCATTGTGGGGGAATGTAATTTGTGACAAAATTGTAAAGATTAATGTTTCTTAAATATTTTAGATTAGAAACGTATAAACAAACTACGGACATTTTTAAAAGTATAAGAATTAGAAAACAGTTAAAAATGTGTAAAAAACTAAAGAATACTCTCTAAGGCCTTCTTTCGTACATTAATAGCCAAAAAAATCGAAAACTTATAATTAAATCACAACTTTTCAAAGATATTGACACTGACCATCTGCATAACAAATAGTCCCAACTAGCGAAGTCTAGTGAGCGTAAGATAATTAGCTGTCGTTGAACTTAAGCGCCTTATTCACTGTCCGTACTGGCTGTACGTCCGGCCAAGGTAATGAACAATGCATGACGAAAAACGACAGTGAATAGTTTCGACGTACGTCAATTATTATTATTAATTGCTTGTTGGATTTGCACAACTAATTCTACATCAAGAGAGCTTATAATAATACAATATTTATATATCGATACAATATTCAATATATATATATATGTATATATATATATATATATATATATATATGTATGTATATGTATATATATATTCTTATTGTAATTATGTATATTATATATTTAATATTCATATATGTGTATGAATATTAATATAATTTTATCTATTTTTTGCGATGTACCATTTATATCTTATGTATTTTATTTCCATGTAAGTATTACAATTTTTTTTTGTTATTTTGTTTTCATATTCGCATATTAACTTTTTATTACACCTACTTCATTCTATCTCTGCATCATCCCAAGGTAGACTGGGAGAGAATGCCTTAGGCATTAAGTCCGCCTATATACCACTTGTGTATATGAAGTTTTAAATAAATAAATAAATAAATATCTATATATTGGGCAACAGACTAATTACATATTAACTAGTACAGCGTCACTTTACAGAACATCAAATATCGTCATAGGCGGATCGGATGGGTATAACCAGAGCGTTCGTCCCCGATATAAAACTGTGTGACATTTTTTGTGAGGGGGGGGGAATCTGCGCACACAATAACAATCGCCTGTCACTAAGAAACTCAAAAAGCGGTTTAGGTGCGACACGAATGGTCCACGCAACTAACTCCCAGTGAAAAGAATAAAAAATATCATACGTTTTAATATTTTATACAAGTTTTCATTCGGCACAGAAAACGACTTGACCGATTTTGCTCAAAATTTAATGAGGTCTGTTACAAAATTATGCGTTAAATAAAACTGGTCCCATGTCATAATCACTCCTTGTTCTCAAGATACACGATGCGAAAATTGAATCCGCACATACATACGTACATGTGCACACACCTTAAAACGTGGAGATGAACGTAAACCGTAAAGACCTTGAAACGTGGAGATATGTTAAAATTTCCAATTTGCTAAATCGGACCCATTACAATAACTTCCCACTGGGAAGTTAAATATAACAAAACAATTTCACACACACACATAGACAATTTATAACAATATCGTTCAATAACAGCTACGACTCGGATACAGATTCAGATCAGTCACTCGACCAATCTACATATTGTATGCGGGCGAGCGGTCTGTGTTGGTAAACAAACCCGAAAGAACACAAAGCCAAGATCGACCTTTGAATCACTATTTTGAATAAATGCCCTAGCTTGACATATCCCAAATAAATTCTATATACTGTGCCTTTATGGCTAGTTGTCTACTAAATTTTTTAGCTTAGTAGACGCTTTCTGTGCTAGTTTGTAAAAATGGCCGAGACAGTCAGGTGATTCCTTAAATGCTATTCTAACACAAAACCTTCCTGTATCCAGACGACTAGTATATCTCGGAAAATATCAGCTCCTATTAGGACGTCTATTAGGCCGGGTGTGTCGAAACATAGAAATGCTTAGGTATTTTTAAGTGTTGTGTATCAATATAAACTTTAGAAAATACACCGGTTAATTCTTTTAGAACTAGACAAGACAAAATAATATTATAGTCCTTGTTTAATGACTTTAGTTGTAAAATGGCAAACTTCCGTCACTTGGCCAGAACTGTTGATTAGGCAACAATCATTTATTGAATTTTTGTTAAATTACATTCAAAACGGAATAAGTTTTGTAGTTAATGAAGATTGGCTGCCACAACAAGATAAGAAGAGTTACCACCTTACTAGTGCTTATGTTACATACATACATCATTGCAGTAAATAAAGTCATTTGTTCAGTATTCTGAGCAAAGTTAGAAACAGAAATATCTATTGGAATACCTTTGCATATTTGTGTTGAAAGAAACTGAACTAGTGGGAATATGACACAAAGTGTTGTGTCTATTTTTGCACTCGTGCCATAGCCCCATACAACATTAACGTACATTAAAACACCTATAATATATACTCAAAAGAATACTGAACTGAAGTAGCAATGGGTCGGTTATGTAGTTCAAATAACGGACACTGAATGATGGAAGAGGCCACTCTTTATATAGAGTAATAATCTGGAAAAAAAAAACATGCCGGAAGTTAATGGAGGCGGGTGACTGACGACTGTGTTTCTTAGCATTCCTTGAGAATTGTCTAAGATCAGCAGTTAACTTGCGATAACGTTCTAATGTCTATTTGAGATATTGTTATAATATCTATTAAACACAATAATATTCGTAATAAGTCTATGTTGAAACTGTGCCACTGTGCGAATGATTTCAAGATGAAATTGAAAACAAAAGCCAGAATGTCATAAGTAATTTTTTATTTAAAACAATAATACTTATATATTTTCATTATTAACTTCTTTTTTCCACTCCATTCTACACACATCCACTTATTTTTCTGCTGCTATACGCTTAAACAATGTTTCGGATAGTGTTTCGAAATACAACGTAAATATGCAATACCATTTAACTTTTAAAAATATTCGACTATTACATACAATGTAGTATAATCATAGACTTATATATTACTAGAGTGCAATGTAATAAAAACTACTTACAAAACTACTACAGTATCGTTTGACAGAATAATAAGTAAGTTTTTACATAACATAACATAACATAAACACTCACGCCTGTCACCCAGAGGGGTAGGCAGAGACTACAGACTTCCATTTAGCACGATCCTGACATACCTTTCTCGCCTCTTCCACATCCATATACCTACGCATACATGCTCGTCGGTTAAGGGTACTCTTAATTTGGCCCATTTTTAGTATATCGCCAATTTGGTCGACAAACTTCCGCCTAGGACGTCCCTTTCCGACTCTTCCATTCACTTCTGCAACATATATTTGCTTTGTCAGTCTTTCCGCATTCATTTTTTCTACATGACCAAACCACCGAAGCATTCCTTTTTTAATCCTGGTCACCGCATCATCTTGCAAACCACACTCTTCTTTTATCACACAGCTTCTCACCCTGTCACTCAGATTCAGCCCTAACATACTCCTTAGCGACCGCATTTCTACTGCATTTATTCTACTCTCGTGCTTCTTCTGCCAGAAGTAAGTTTTTATTTCCAAAAATGTAGTACAGCTAGATATTTGCTTAACATATATTATATATTATACTCGTAATAAAGCTAATGTAGTTCTTAAATCAGAAACATAGCATCTGCGGCCGCACTAGGAAACCCGTGTATCAGCCGTCAGTAGTAAATGTTAGAATGGAAGCAAAAATTAATTAGTTAAATATCATCTAAAGAGTTTGTACTTTATGCTAACATAACCTAGGTTTTTTATATTTATTTTGTTATAGGATAAGGTGACAAACGAGCACACAGTCCACGTGATGGTAAGTGGATGCTGTGGCCCATAGAAATCTATATTTATTCTCGATTAAGAATCAAAATGCAGATGCCTTGTCACTCCTGAGGACTAAGATGGAATACCTCGTATCCAGTAAAAAAGGGTCTTCGGATCTCTACACTCACCATACGAAACAGCAGTATTAAGCTACTATTTTACGCTGGTATTCTGTGAGAGCGTCCTTCCCCGATCGAGCCGACCCATTCGTACACAAGCGTGGCTCTACCACGTATAATTTTAATGAATCACACATTATGTTTTATATACTTACGTATAACCAAAATAATTATTAATATAAACAATGTCATTCCTCTCTCTTAAAATTTGTAATGCACGACTGTAAGAAGTATTTATGTAATGAGTGTAATGTGTATAGCAATTAAAGGAGAGGAGTGTGTAAAATGTGTGTGTGTGTGTTTGTGTGTGTGTATGTGTGTGTGAATGTGTGTCTGAAAATTAATTATTAAAATATTATTATTTTATATATGTGTTATTAGGGTTACAAGTTTCATAAGAAATTATGATTAAGTCTGAATACTAAGCAGGTTTTCAGTTTCAATGTAAGTTAATTTAGTTTAGTTATTACTAGAGTGCAATGCAATGAAAATTACTTCACTATCTATTGTCAGAATATCAGATGAATTATTAATTAATATCGATAAATACTTTCAAAATTCTAAACTTTCACTGTAGCGTGTAAAATCAGTACTAGTAAAACCATCAAAACTTAATGCCGGCTTGAATTTGCGCCATGAGCTTAGCTGACTTGCGTAGTTGAGTCAGTTCCTTGTCGGTCAGTGTCTGTAGGATTACATCGGAGATTCCTCGATGACCCAGCGCACAGGGTAAAGATAGGAAAACGTCCTGTTCGATACCGTGCATGCCCTGAAATTGAACATAATTCATTAGTTAATGCATATTTAGAGACCCCAGAGTTTGTATTCGTTGTAATACGTTCACATATAGGGAAACAGTATAAAGTGAACTGATTTTTAAAACTAAGTAGTTCGTTTTGTGCTGTTTCATTATCGTTTAGTGGTATGCACGTATACCTAATGAGATATGCATTTTAATACAAAATGATATAAGGTTGATATCAGCGTGACAAAATATTTTTGTTTCCATAGAGCGGCAAGGATTTTATGCGGTGTTAAATTTTTGGTAATAAAAATTGATTAGCTGTTGACGAATATTAAATTTATATTAAAAAGTAAAAACCATCCTCAAAGGACTCAAAAGTATAAAATAATTTATATTGCTTGCTTTCTCTGAAGTTTTTTTAGCATAGTAGCGTTTAAGAAAATCCACTACCCCATATTATCCCGTGAGTGAGGCGACAGACGCGTAACTAAAACAGGTGGTAGCATTGTCTTCCTGATAACAACTCAATGTGTATTAACAAACAGGACGGTGCCAAGCGTGGCAACTGTGGCAAAAATGAGGCAATCTATGGGGGAGGCCCATGTTCAACAGTGGAGTTGTGTCGTGGATGGATGAATGGGTGAACAGCTTCTGGAGTGGATGCCAAGATGTAGGGTATCGAACAATGAAAGTTAATTAATTTAAAATTTAGGATTTTATTATCCCCCCCAAACGGGTTCCCGCCTTGTCGTGGCGGGGGGCTTAGTAGCCGTGGCTTGGTCTCCCACGGTGAACAAAGAGGAACCCACGTGGCTGGCCCGAGGTGAAGGGCCGCCCTGAGGTGGCTACTCCGAGTGTGCTTGGGGAGCCCACTTCGGATGTGTGCTGGTGGACTGCAGCGAGTGGGGACTCCGCACCCTCTACCGCTGCAGCCGAGGTGGAGTCGCGGAGGAAGAGGAGTGTTGGTATGGCGATGCGCCACTCGCCCTATCCTCCGCGACTCAAACGGGGCCGCACCGTTGATGCGGTGGTGATGGGGCTGCGGGGGGAGAGGATTGTCGGTATTGCGAGGCGCCGCTCTCCCTATCCTCCGCAGCCGAATCTTGGTTGGCGGCGGAGCCATAGACCAGATCCGCCGCTGGGGTCGGGAAGGCTAGTACTTCTAAGTGCTCGTTTTTCCTGGCCCCATGGCCTTCGCACATCGGACGCGGGGGGCGTCTGTTGCGCAGATGCAATTGGAGGCCGTGGAGGAAGGCGTGCCATGTGTTCTGGTGCGCCTTACTTGAGAAGGAGAACGGGGAGGAATATTCCTCTCCCGAGGAGGTGCTGCCATGGGGCGGCAGTCGCTGGTAGGGCCGCGGAAGTGTGCGAAAGCGTTCCCGTAGCCCTGCTAATATGCGACGAAAGGTGGAACACCATGGGGTTTTAGTCGGTGCGAGTCCGACATAACCCGTCCTTGCCCCCGCGAGGCGGGTATGCGTAGGCATTTCCCCATGTAAAAAAAGGATTCTATTATGCAGATTTATTCTTTTCATTTCTTTGAATTCAGTTTTTATTTTTTGTTAAAAATTTATTTTTCGACCCTATTGTGGAGATTAAGGAATTTCACAAGCTCAAAGTAACAACTAGAATCTCCTCTCACATTTAAAGCTTCATCCCTAATTACCCATCCTTAGGAATGGATTTTTTTCTTCAAATGTATATACTACCTTTTTTCATTCGTGGTAGAGCCATGCTGCAGTTATATTAGCAGTATAGTTGTAGCATGAATGGGCTGGCTCGACTGGGGAAGGACCACGCTCTCACAGAATACCAGCGTAAAATTTGTAGCTTAATGCTGCTGTGTTTCGTATGGTGAGTGTAGAAAACCTGAGACCCTTTTTACTGGGAACGAGTCATTCCATCTTAGTCCTCACGGTTGATTTGTAATCGAGGACAGATGTAGACGTCACAGCAACCACTTACCATCAGGTGGACAGGGCAGGACAGGAGGGTGAAAAGGTAAAGTAAAGTAAAAATAAAGTTACAGCCTATATACGTCCCACTGTGGGGCACATGCCTCCCCTCATTTATGAGAGGGTTTTAGGGCAACGAAGTGTCCACCGCGCTGCCCTAATGCGTGTTGGCGAACTTCACATGTCTTCGAAATATTTTTTTATTCCTCAGACATGCAGGTTTCCTCACGATCTTTTCCTTCACCGCCGAGCACGCGGTAATCAGCACTTAAAATTGCAATTAACAATTTCATTGGTGCCGGCGGGGATCGAACCCAGGTTACTCGCGTTCTGTTATATTTACAGCGAGCGTTAACCATCTGAGCTACCACGGCTCTGAAAAGCTGCGAAAAGGTATTACCTACTAAATAAAAAGGAGTCATTACATACACAAGCAGTTACAGTCGAATTCAGGTACTACTAATTTAACTTAAAACGGTAGTAATATTTTATTATATATATGGTGTGTTGCCCGGGAGGGCGACCATCTGTCCCAAGGAGGTGTCGGATTTATCGTCCACAAGTCTCTCGTCAACAACGTTGTAAAGATTGGGAGTGTGTCGACGAGGGTCGCGTGCCTGATACTCAGAATCACCAAACGGTATTCGCTGAAGGTCATACAGGTCAACGCACCAACCTCGGCACATCCCGATGAGGAGGTGGAGGAAATGTATGAGGATATTTCTAGAGCCATGCATTCCTCCAAAACCCACTACACGGTGTTGATGGGAGACTTCAACGCAAAACTAGGCACAAGAGAAGGCGGTGAGCTGAAGTTAGGGAAATTTGGAGTAGGGCAACGGAACCGTAGGGGCCAGCAGTTGACTGACTTTAAGGAGAAAGAGGGATTCTTTATGATGAACTCTTTCTTGCAGAAGCGGCCCCACAGGAAGTGGACCTGGTCGAGCCCCGACGGTTCGACAAAAAATGAGATTGACTTCATTATGACGACCAGACGCCAACTGTTCAGTGATGTCTCAGTGATCGCAAGAGTGAAAACCGGCAGCGATCACCGAATGGATAAAGGCACACTGAACCTAAACGTTAAGTTGGAGAGGTCTCGTCTAATGAAGTCAACGCTCCGTCCCCCTCGTGCTCTGATCCAGAATCCCGAGACTTTTCAGCTCGAGTTACGTAACCGCTTTCAGTGCCTAGAAGATTGCAATGCAGTGGACGATGTGGATGACAAGCTCGTGGAAACTGTCCATGCGGTCGGAGCTAAGTTCTGCAAGACCCGCCGCAGAAGAACACAAAAACTCTCCGATCACACTCTTAATCTCATGGCTGTTAGACGGGAGATGAGGCTGCAATCGTCATCAGATTTGACAGCATACAGGCAACTGAACAGACAGATCTCCAAATGCATGCGGCAAGACTTACGCAACTTTAATACTACTCGTATTAAAGAAGCGATCGAGCGGAACCAGGGCTCCAAAGTCTTTGCCAGAGATCTGTCTGCCAGGAAGAGCCAACTGTCAAAGCTGAAGACTGAGTGTGGCAGCATCGTTTCCGGGACACCTGAGATTTTGAGTGAGATTGAGAGGTTCTATGGGCAGCTGTACACATCATCGTTGGAGCCACACGCAGGTGTGAGTAACGATACAAGAGCAAGTCTTACCCGACATTATTCCGATGATATCCCGGACGTCAGTCTGAGCGAGATTAGAATGGCTCTCCAGCACCTTAAAAACGGCAGGGCCCCAGGCGAGGATGGAATTACAGCGGAGCTTCTGAAAGCGGGTGGAAAACCGGTACTTGAAGTCCTTCAGAAGCTCTTCAATTCCGTCCTCCATGGTGGCACTACTCCGGAGGCGTGGAGCAGAAGTGCGGTGGTCTTGTTCTTTAAGAAAGGCGACAACGCTCTCTTGAAGAACTACAGACCGATTTCCCTTCTGAGCCGCGTCTTCGTGCTGTTTTCGAGAGTCATTACGAATCGTCTCGCACGCAGACTCGACGACTTCCAGCCTCCCGAACAAGCCGGTTTCCGAAAAGGCTTCATTACCATAGACCACATACATACCCTGCGGCAGATTGTGCAGAAGACCGAAGAGTACAATCTGCCACTTTGCCTGGCGTATGTGGACTATGAGAAAGCCTTTGATTCCGTCGAAATTTGGGCGGTGCTACAGTCCCTTCGGCGGTGCCAAGTTGACTGTCGGTATATCGAAGTGCTGAAGTGTTTGTACAGTAGGGCTACGATGGCTATCCGAGTACAGAACCAGAGTTCGAAACCTATCCAACTGCAGAGAGGTGTAAGACAGGGTGACGTTATATCCCCGAAACTCTTCACCGCTGCGTTGGAAGACGTTTTCAAGCTACTGGACTGGAAAGGATACGGTATTAACATCAATGGCGAGTACATCACTCACCTTCGATTTGCCGACGATATAGTCCTTATGGCAGAATCGCTGGAGGACCTTAGCACTATGCTCAATGACCTCTATGGTGTCTCCCAACGGATAGGTCTTAAGATGAACATGGACAAAACAAAGATTATGTTCAATGTCCATGTCACACCTATGCCGGTAGTTGTGGGGAGCACTATGCTTGAAGTTGTTGACGAGTACGTTTACCTGGGACAAATAGTTCGACTAGGTAAGTCCAACTTCGACCGAGAGGTCAAACGACGGATTCAACTCGGCTGGGCAGCGTTCGGGAAATTACGACACATCTTCTCGTCAGGTATACCTCAATCTCTGAAAACTAAAGTGTAAAACCAGTGCGTGTTGCCAGTGATGACTTACGGATCAGAGACGTGGTCCTTCACTGCTGGCCGTATGAGGACGCTCAAGGTCGCTCAGCGAGCTATGAAGAGGGCTATGCTCGGAGTTTCTCTGCGTGATAGACTCAGAAATGAGGATATCCGCAGTAAACCAGAGTGACCGATATAGCCCAACGGATTAGTAAGCTGAAGTGGCAATGGGCCGGCCATATAGCTCGAAGAACCGATAACCGATGGGGAAGAAAGGTTTTACAGTGGCAGCCTCGTACCGGTAGGCGTAGTGTAGGGCGACCCCCCACTAGATGGAGTGACGACCTGGTAAGACATGCAGGAAGTCGATGGATGCAGGTGGCTCAGGACCGTGCTTTGTGGCATTACTTGGGGGAGGCCTATGTTCAGCAGTGGACTTGTGAAGGGCTGTAATGATGATGATGATGATGATATATGGTGTGAACTAACCAATTGTTAATAAAAATACGAATATCAATGCCAATAATCGTAGCCTAGTAGTACCATAGTAACGTTCTTTGGTCAATCCACGTGATGGTAGTGGATGCTGTATCCCATAGACATTTATCCTCGATTAAGAATCTAAATCCAGACGCGTTGTCACCCGTGAGGACTAAGATGGAATGCCTGGTTGCCAGTAAAAAAGGTCTCCGGTTCTCTACACTAACCATACTCGTACGAAACACAGCAGTATTTAGCTGCTATTTTAAGCTGGTATTCCGTGAGAGCGTGGTCCTGCCTCGGTCGAGCCGACCCATTCGTGTTACAACTGTAATATAGTTACAGCATAGCTCTACCACATAAAAATTCATTAATAATGAAAGAACAAATTATAAGAACACTGGTCACTCATCTAGAATCACTAAATAATTAGGGCTTTACAATTTTTCTGCCACCAGGGTGGCGCTTCTTAGGAATGAAGTCTATCATTTGACATATTTCATAGTGGGGGAATGTAATTCGTGACAAAATTGTAAAGATTAATGTTTCTTAAATATTTTATATTAGAAACGTATAAACAAACTGCGGACATTTTTAAAAGTATAAGAATTAGAAAACAGTTAAAAAATGTGTAAAAAACTAAAGAATACTCTCTAAGGCCTTCTTTCGTACATTAATAGCCAAAAAAATCGAAAACTTATAATTAAATCACAACTTTTCAAAGATATTGACACTGACCATCTGCATAACAAATAGTCCCAACTAGCGAAGTCTAGTGAGCGTAAGATAATTAGCTGTCGTTGAACTTAAGCGCCTTATTCACTGTCCATCTGGCTATACTTCCGGCCAAGGTAACGAACAATGCATGACGAAAAACGACAGTGAATAGTTTCAACGTACGTCAATTATTATTATTAATTGCTTGTTGGATTTGCACAACTAATTCTACATCAAGAGAGCACCGCACGCAACGAACTTCGTGCAGGTAGACAGTGAATAGCGCGGACGTACGTCAGGGCGATCGTGCGTTGTGCGTGCTTGATTATGTATAAACTTACTGTAGAGCAGATTCAGCATCAGCTCGTGTCACATGGTGACTGCACCTCAAAATGGATCGCGTAACACTATCAAGGTTTATTGAAAGATATAAATCCCACAAAAGTTACAGCCTATATATGTCCCACTTCTGGGCAAAGGCCTCCCGCTCATTATTGAGAGGGTTTCAGGGCAAGGAATTATCCGCCGCGCTGCCCCAATGCGTGTTGGCGAACTTCACATGTCTTCGAAAAATTTGTTTCTTATTTCTCAGACATGCAGGTTTCCTTACGATGTTTTTCTTCACCGCCAAACACGTGGTAAATCAGCACATAAAATTGCAATTAACAATTTCAATGGTACCGGCGGGGATCGAACTCAATTTGCTCGCGTACTGCGAAATTTACAGCGAGTGCTAACCATCTGAGCTACCACGACATCCCACAACATCCAACAACATTGGCATATTAAATAAATAAATACGCGCGCTTATTTAATTCGTTCGATTACATCTAACATGCTGGATACGCGCACAATAGTGTGAATACTACGTTCAGCACCGTGGCCTAGAGTGGTCGTACAACTGGATGGATCATGCATAAGGTGATTTACCTTTATATAAGTAGACACGGGATGCACGCTGCTTGCATCAGACAGGATGGCCCAGACGAGTTGCGAGAGCGACAGTCCAATAGCCCAGGAGGTGTAACCCTTTAGCTTGATGACCTCATACGCGCTCTTGACCACCTTTTCATGCATCTGGCGCCACTGTTCGGAATCTTCCTCACTCCCTATCTTCGAGTTCAAATCACTGAGTCTCACGCCTGCGATGTTCACTCCGGACCATATAGGCACTGTTGAGTCGAACAAATTGATCAAATAACAGGACAAATGTTGTGTTAATTTCATAAAACGATACATTTCTTGAACAATTCTTTACGGAAATAATAATTGATACCTTAATAATTGTTTATAAAATTACTAACAATGTGTGGTATTTTTTACAAGACTTGCTTTTTGCTCATTGTCCCGCCTGCTTAATTGCGTACGTGATTTACGGAACCTTATCTATTTATACATCTAAAAGAGGACGTTTCTGTATATGAAATCGTTTAACTCAAAGTCTATTCGATCGATCACCATTAAAATTAATATATTGTTACGCGATGACGTGGCTAATGATTGCGTCACTGCAGTGGTGGGGTTTTGCGCCCAGATAGCCGGTCAGTAGTTAGTTAGTACCAGTTCTGGCTCACTGAGTCAGAAGTGGTACAAGTGCGACAAAAAAAGGAGGTTTTAGCATGCTCTCATCACGAATCTGCGGTCCATTCTTACGTAGGTTGCACGGTTCCGGAGATGTACAGATCAATTAACTCTTATCTAATTGATATCCGGTGAAGGCCTCCACCGTCATTAGCGCTCCATTGATCTTATCTATTGTTCATTAAATACCGTCATTATCTATTCTTCCTCAGCGTGGTGCTACTATATTATACTCCTTTGTTCCTATGTACACTAATCTGACTCATCAATAAAACACATTACCTAATTTTGTTAAAATATTTATTTACAAAATACAAAATCTTATTACTTATTATATATAAAATAGGAGCGAAACATCTCATCCACTAAAATATCGTTGTACAATGTGTTCCCTGTAAATATACCCGTAAAACTATGCATTGAACATCCCTGAAACTTATATAGCAAATACATTGAGCAATATTCGCTACAAACTGAAGTCCACTCATTCTGAATCCTATCAACATTCCAGTTCCATCTTTTACAATTTCTTTTTAAAAACTCTAGATGATATCGTACAGGTGCTCGTCCGAATGAATCAAAATATTGACCGACGTCATTCGTATCGATATATAAAGCTACCCAATGTGACCCTGGTTTATCATCTGTATCCAAATTGCATATTATATACGTTGGTACGTGGGTGTATATGGGCAGTTTATTGGCATCATAAACATTATTTTCTAGAGTGGGGTGAATCTTTTTCAGATGTTGTTGTACATCTAGTGTATCCATGATATTACTGCTATTAGTAGATTATTACAGTACCAATCTACTCAATGACTAACATAGGAATGATCAATTATAGTGATATCTAAATATTAAATTGCATTATTTGTGTTATACAAAACGTATTTGAGTCATCAATACACTGAACAAGACACGACACGAAGAACGAAGGAATGCTGAGATAAGCAACAGAATGTGAGGTAAGCTTGTTGACGCATAAAGTTATCATCAATTCCACTGAAGAAATTCTTTAGATTAGAATTATTACTTACTGGTACTATATAAGACCAAGCACCTGCAGTCATTGAGTTAGTGTATGGTCGTTTGACCGCAGTGGATCTATCAATACTACATTTGTGTTACTTCAACGCATCAAAGGCCATGGATGTAAGTGTTTATTCTTTTGTCAAACTTACCTTTCTTTCTGTTATTTTCTGACGTATGTATGATTTAGTGTTAACAAATTATATTTAAATATTATGTGTGTATATGATTAAGCCGTGGTAGCTCAGATGGTTAGCGCAAAATGTAAATTACACAGTACGCGACCCGGGTTCGATCCCCGTCTGCACCAATTAAATTGTTAATTGCAATTTAAGTGCTGATTTACCACGTGCTCAGCGGTGAAGGAAAACATCGTGAGGAAACCTGCATGTCTGAGAAAATTTCGAAGGCATGTAAAGTTTGCCAACACGCATTGAGGCAGTGCAGCGAACATTTCCTAGTCCTAAAACCCTCTCAGAAATGAGAGGAGGCCTATGTTCAGCAGTGGACTTTAATAGGCTATAACTTTAACTTTTTTAACTTTATGATTAAATGTTAACAAATTGATATTAACATGATAACTGTGTTGTTGCAGAAATCATTGAGCTTCGATGAAAATACCTATAAACAGTATTACTACTCACCACTCTCCCCTCAAGAAGAGAGTGATGACATCGTCATTAATAATAACACATGCGATGGTGGAAAAAGAAAATCGCAATCGATTGATCATTTTTTTGAAGCTGAATCAAAAATAAAAAAGAGGAAGCTGTTATCATCAACCGTAGCACGAGCCGCTAGAGATGGTGTATCATACATTTCTACTAATTCTGACGACGGAGACCAAGCGACGCATCTCATCAAAATTGAAATGTACGATATGAAGAAGCTATCCAAGATTCCAACTACTGATCATTGGAAACATGCTTCCACGAGGATTAAATATTACGTAAATACTAATAAGGATAGCATCTACGACAACACAAACGCCCTCGTATACAATATTACAAAGACAATAGCAGAAAGTGAAAAAGTTAAAAAGTACTTTTTTAACAATGACAGTCATTAGCTGATCATTAGTGAATGTGATTCTGTTTACTTAAATTACAGGAAGACAAGAGCTGAAGAAGAGATGAGTGTGGCATACGTGTACATAACACATCATTGAATAACAAAACTACAACATTGAGTGGAGAAGAAAACGAGAAGAATATGCAGTACTCAAGAGCTGAATATCCATTCTTCAGTTCAAAATCTAGCCGGTTGCTCAGTTTCCAAAACTGGCCTCTCGTTATGCGACAGAAACCTGAAGATCTTGCAGAAGCCGGTTTCTTTTATACTGGCCATGCAGAGAGGACCAAGTGTTTCCATTGTGGTGGCGGTTTAAAAGATTGGGAAGATGATGATGATCCTTGGCAGCAGCATGTTCAGTGGTTTAGTCAGTGTACTTATGTAAAATTTAAACTAGAACAGAGTTTTGTATTGGATTAAATAGAATATTTATAAAGAAATAAAAAATAATATATTGCATACAATTTGTTTTATTTATTGAAATAATACTAATTTTTACGGAATTTATCGCTTTTATTTAACTTTTTTACCAGACGTTTCTAGAGCTTTACAGCACTCATGGTCACGGGCAAGACTGAGATGTTCAACGTCCATATGTCATAGTTAACCGCGGTTACCATAGATTAAAATTTAACTTTTGTTCCGATCTATGCAGTATGCATCCGGAGCGTCGATTCTTCACATCAGCTATATGTTCTTTAATGTGAAGAATCGACGCTCCGGGAAGTCTGCAGTCTGTGAACACGTACAGGATCGCCCCCGTCACCACATCAGATTTGATAGACCGCAGATCCTCGCTAAAGAACACCGATTCCTTCCAAGGATGATTCGCGAGGCTATTGAAATCAAAAAACATCCTAATTTCAATAGAGAAGATGGCTGGGTGCTGCCATCTGCTTGGGATCCTATAATAAATAAAATTAAATTCCAACCCAAGCATACAACTGCAAGACTTCAAGATACCTTAAGTTCATACTGCATAGATCGGAACAAAAGTTAAATTTTAATCTATGGTAACCGCGGTTAACTATGACATATGGACGTTGAACTCTCAGTCCTGCCCGTGACCATGAGTGCTGTAAAGCGTTCGAAACGTCGGGTAATTAAAAAAGTTAAATATACGCGATAAATTCCGTAAAAAACTAGTATTATTTCAATGTGTAGTGTTCGCGTAAATATAAGAAATCATTATTGTTTTATTTAATTTTATAACGTTTCACATAGTGACGTACACACAAAATGCATTACACATAACTCATAAAATCTAACACACAATACATATTATAACCTTAACTACTATAGTCTACAGTAACATTTCTGTTTTTATATATCTCAATAATATTATCAAACTCAGCATAAACTATACAGTTAATTGTTTGTATTAGTGAGGATTCAAATCGTACTTCTAATCTTACACTACCATGCTTTATGAGATTCCAATGAGCTGATGAGTTGGCTGATAAATCAGGAGATAAGTCAAATGCTAATAGACAGTAACCTTTGGCATACTGTTCACAAGAATTCCATTTCCTTCATTAAGAAAGTGAATACCAGTTCCCGAGAATAGAGTATGATATGCTGATGTAAATATGCTATTATTAAAAGATGGTTGCAAAGCTTTTGAAGGTATTTGTTGACCATCAATATATAAACTGAAAGAATTAATACCATAGTTTTCAAAGTTAAATGGATTTTTAGTAAGGGAACCATTAAATGCAGATTTGTTCACAAATCCAATTATACATCTTTTGGGTACCTGCCCTAAAAACATATTATCAAGAGTTTTTCCTTGAACACCCGATGGAATTGTTAAAACTTTTACTTCAGCTCGAGTAATAGGATAGTTAGCAGTGGTAGTAGGAAGCTAAAACTTGATGTGCGAATAATACACTTGGATTTCGTGCTCGTCGAACAATAAGAGTTGCGTCTGTAATGCAAACTTTAAACTTTACATCGTTTGACCCAGCAATTAAATTAAAGCTCTCTCTTGATCGAACCAATTTAACACTCATTTCAACACCATTAATTAAAAATTTATCTTGGTTGAAAATGTCACCGTGAAGATGACCAATCATTTCTATTTCCTTACTTTCACTAATCAATTCGTGTCTTTTAACAAATTTTTACCATCCGTAGAATCCATTTTTCCTGCTGTACCATCATACCAAAGACTACAAGTAAGATGAGATTGTTTAGCAGCAGAAGCATAGTTTAAAAGAGTTTCCATGTGTGCTTGATATGCATAGGTATTATTAGGTGGTGATACAAGTTTTTGGTTTAAATAAACATCAAGTTGACTAAAAAGTGAATGCAGCCAATTATTTACAGGTGCTACTATTGTAGTAGATATCAAGTTAGTTGAATCTTGATTTAATACTTTTGCCTTTATGTGGAGTAATGTATGAGACAAATCTATGTAGTCATCGCCTGTCCCAGGAACTTGAAACTCTATAGGTCCATCATCACCAAGAGATGAAATTGGTTTATA